CCCGTAAGGAGGGGGTTCCAATAAAGCTACTTCACAGAAGAGGGTGTCATAGCTGAACCTGCGGGTCAGGGCCACCAACTGAATACACCTGCCCTGCTTGAGGGTACACCATCAGGACTGCCTGCCTTGGTGAAACTCGGGTAGAGGAGACGATGTGGGAACAGGGGAGCAGCCTAACTTGGGAATGAGAGCCCGGGTTCCCATCCCAAAGGAGTTCACTGACCCCTGTGTTAGCTAGCCAGCTAGGCCAGCAAGGATACAATCCTAAGGACAGTAAAATGCACAAGGACAATCTATAACACACAAAAGTGTGTGCAGAGGGCCTGGTACACTCAGATGAGCTTCTTTCCAGCTATCTCTTTCTCTGGTACTAATTTCACTCTCCACAGGAGTCTTCCCGACTGGCAGGCACACAGAAATGATTCTAACGAGGCGGTTTGCCTGAAATGTGGTGTCTTTGCACATCTTTGTCTTGCACATTATTTGTGGACCCCAAATAATGCAATGTTTTGGGGGCTGAGCAACTGAGTCTAGACAGGAAATGAGTTGATTCCATGAGACTTGCAAGGTCCCCAGCAAGATGTGCTTTCTAGAAGGGCATCGGGTGGGCTGGGGATTTTCATTTGCCCTGGAATATAAAGCATGAGAGAAGAGATGGGGATCTCGACACCAGGTCCAATATCTTTTTCATGACACTGTTTATTCTTCCCTGTACCGTATAGAAACCAGGTCGTGGTTGGGATCAAAGCACAGAATATGGGGGTGGGCAGCAGGTTCCACCTAAAATTGAGGTGTTTCTGTACTCTACTGGCCCTGACTGCACCCCACCCCCAAAGCCCCAGAGAAATCTCTCATGCTGTAGTGTAACCTCAATAGCTGGCTATAGCTCTGGGTCCCGGGTAAGAGCCTAGGATGGAGGAGAGGGTGGTGAGGAAGAGGGAGGAAGAGGGAGGAAGAAGTATTTCCTGGTTACTTGACAAACATAAACCCAGGCCTGAGCTTCAGTCCAGGCTCTGACAACAGGGGATCACCATCTCAGGTCCCTGTTTACACCCTCCCCTCAACCCTCTCCACCCTCACTACTCTCTCATTCTGTCCTCTCTTATCTGGCACTGATAAAGTACGGGCTCTGAAAATGTACGGTCACTCGAGAAGGGTGGGGATACCAAAAAGCTTCTAGGAATGAATGACTCAGCCCAGGCTGAAAAGAGCCACATTGTCTAGATGTGTCCATTTGCTCGCACACATCTCACAAAGAAAGCACTTTTATGATCTTTTTACCACCTCTGTTGACCCATGGAGCGAGGCTGCGGGCCTGGGATTCCTGCTGCTTCTGGTTTTCTGTCTCCACACACGCATGGTTGGGATTCCTGAGCTGTATCCCTTGTTCTGTGGAACTTCTCGGCTACCTCCGAGGACCGTTATCAAAGCCCGAGGGTCAAAATCCCTACCTTCGGGGACCTGTATTTTGTTCTCCCTGTCCTAACAAAAATGACTAAGGGGACCACAGCGACGCCTTCATGCCTCCTACATGAAGACCTTGGGTCAAGAAAAGGAAGAAGATTAGCTGCTCATGCTGTGCTGGTCACACATGATGTTTATTAAAGTCCACCACTCTTGAAGGCCCCTCTGTCTTGGTCCCACGAGGCCTCCCATGCCAGTCAGAGAACTCCCAGGCCACCCCCAACTATCTGGCTTGCACACACCTCAGGTTTGCAGTTACCTCCTGGAGGGCTTTCTGGCAGCATCTTATTGGTCAAGCAGCTTAATCTTCAAGACGTGGTCCTGGGTCATGGCTGAGACATCGCAGAATGCGGGACTATCTGATGTCTTTACAGACCCACCAGAGTGAAAATGACCAGCGGTCGAGGTCAAGCATTACTGTTTAAACACCAACGGTGGAATTTGCAAATGGGTAAATACCATATTGTGCGCAGGAGCCAAAGAATTTGTTCAAAAACAGCTACTCGGTATGTGTCGGAATGAGGCCTTGGTTACAGAGCAACGCAGAAGGGCCAGCAAAATACAGATTCTGGTGTTTCATAAACCTACTACAGCAGAGAGACTAAGTGAAGCAGCTCTCCTGCCAAACAGAAAATTCCAGATGCCAAGGAGAGAAATTTTTTTTTAATTTTTTTTTAATTTATTTATTTATGATAGTCACAGAGAGAGAGAGAGGCAGAGACACAGGCAGAGGGAGAAGCAGGCTCCATGCACTGGAAGCCCGATGTGGGATTCGATCCCAGGTCTCCAGGATCACGCCCTGAGCCAAAGGCAGGCGCCAAACTGCTGCGCCACCCAGGGATCCCCCCAAGGAGAGAAATTAGAAGAGGCTGTGGAACATCAGAGAAAGCTAGTCCCCTCTTAGAGATGGAAGTTCAACATGTTCAGAGGACCCGGGGATAGCCCAGACCGCTCCAGCTGGGACTGGCCAAGGATGAGGTTACATTAGGAAGAATCCCTATTCCATTCCATGCCCCTACCTGCTTGGGTCAGAGTTCAGCCCCCAGAAGGGCTACGTGCCTGTTCTGGGAGCCTCGGGGATCTCTCTCAGGTTCTTGTGAACAAAGCTGGTGCCACCAAGCCTCCACTGGCCTCTGCCAGACCCAGGACAGTGAGTAGGACCCTGCATGCTGCTGTGTTGTGAAATCGAGAAGCTCTCCTCCCCCTTTCTGTACATACTCCAGGGCTTTCTAGGGTTTTAGGAAAAAAGCCTTTTAGGAGTTTGACTCACTGGTCCCCACCTCCATCGCGCTCAGGGAGGTCTGGAGCAGAAGATAAATGTAAGCACCATGGATTACTGAGGATCATCCTCCCTCCCCCAATGACTGAGGCTTCAATACTGGGTCCAGCTGGTCTTGTTCAACTGCTTTTTCCCTGTAGCTCCCTCGGTGCTCATGCAAAGGTTAGTCATGGCTGGCCAGATCCCCACAGTGGCTGGGCTGTGAACCCCAGCTTGGGCTCAAGCAGTGTCCCCTAATTCAAAAAGAATTAAACTTTTTCTTTCTTAAAACTATCTTAGGAGGCAGCATGTCTGGACTATAGTCCCAGATACAAGCAATCTTCATCACAACATAAGGTGTTAATAACGTCCTTCCACTCATGCTCGTGTTGTTATAATAGGCTGAGAATTAACTTAATCTAAACAATGTTACCTATAAAGCAATCACTTTAGAGAGTATACAGATTCTTTTGTAAAAACTATTAAGCACCTAGAAAACTAAAAAAAAAAAAAAAAAAAAAAAACAAAAAACAAAAAAAACGACCAACCAGAGCTACTCCAGCCTGTTCATGAGAACCTCAGAGACATCGCTGGTGCTCCCAGAATAGACAAATCCACTCCCAAATCTACTCCATGGCTATAAACTCCCATAAAAGGCTAGAAGAGATAAAAATTCTCATTGGAGGAATTTCTCACCTGCCTCTGTGTCTATAAATGATCCATGGATGCAAAATACAGTCATTCAGATTCACTGGAGGCCACCTATATTTTTGCAAGAATTCATTCTGGCCAAAAGCTGACAATCCAGGAATAGGTCCGGAGCTCCTAATTTATGTGGCTGGCCCAACACTACTCACAGCACCAAACGTGAGTGCCAAAGACTCATTCTGCAAGACTCCCCTATGGTGACAATACACGTGGAGGGCAGATCTGACTTCTTCCAATGGCATCTATATCAACTTGCCCACCACATCCTCTACATCTCCATGAGGGGAAGCATGATGGCTCTTAACCGCTTCATGAATGGACACACAGAAATTCAGGTGAGGTCACCTGAAGAGAAAAGCTGCCAACGAAGCCTTGCATTGCTCTCTAGATAAACCCCAATTGTGAGATCAGCTAGGTCTCCCTATCATAACCAGATTCCCTTTGCCTCTAAAGACAAAGTCTGTCCGCCCTGACACTAAGTTTAACATTGCTTGCTTTGGGGCCAATTGGGAACTGCCCAGAGCACGACAAATGCTAAGTGTGGTTTGACAAATAACAGCTGGGGTCTAGCCAGCAACGTCTCCCCTGCCAACTCTATTCCACAAGGCAAGTCTTTAAGTAGTACAGGGGAGAAAATCCTCTACTTCTCAGCCAGGAGACACTCACACCCCCACTGCTACTTTGTAAACCTACCAAGGAAAAAAAACATCTCAATACCAAGCTCAGGTGCCAGGTGGAGCAAGGTGGAATCACCCAGCACACCACCATGCTAGAGTTCTGAAGCTAATGCTCTCTTGGCTTCAAGTGTATCCTTTTATCCTATGCTGAGATGCTGGGATTTGGGATTCCCCAAACCACATTCCTGCTTTCGTCTCTGATAGGCTCTGCCCATCGTGGGTCCAGGGTGGGGGAACCTGTGAGACTGGAAGAGGAGGAAGGAATTCTCTCCTAGTTTGCTTCCTGTTTACCTCTGTGGGCTTCCTGTCCCTGTCTGTCTCCACTGGCAACGCTTCTTGTTCACTTGGGCAGTGTCAGTTTCTTCCAGAAGCATTGGAGTCCACTTTTTGGTTTTCTTAACAATCACAGAACCAACCTCAGCCAAACAGCTTCCCCTCCTCAGAGACTAAGGTACCAACCCCTCTGGAACTTTCTTCCAAGCTCAGCGACACCAGTACCAGTTGAGAAGCATCCCTGTCTCCTCCGCTTCAGAAATCTGAGATTCAGCCCACATGCCCCTTCTCCAAATGCCTAACTTTTCATGAGTCCAATATGTTCCCTTTGTTCTCCCAGCCTCAGGAAACCTGCCTCCTGCAGGTGGCTACTTCCACAAATACCCTTGTCTTCTCTTCCCGCCTTTTCCGTTACCTGGTTAGTAATTCTTTACATCAGATTATCTCTGGCATCATAACTGGCGTGATTTCTGTGCCCTGCCTGGACTGGGACTAATTCACCCTCAGGTTCCAGGCATCTATGGCAGGAAGTAGAGCGTGGGGCTTCCCAGCCCCATCTGACTGTGATGCTCGAGGGCGCGTGCCCACCCACCCACGACCTACATTCAGATCTGGTTTATCTCAGCCAACTTGTGCACAAGCAGAGATAAGTTCACATTTAAAGGACATAGTGAAATTTGTGGCAAATGGAGCTTAATTGCTGTACAATCTTGGGGGGATGACAGCAGGGACTCCCTGCTAAATATTTGAATGTTTTTCCTTGCTGGCTAGAAGGGAGCTGTACGGAAGCATCCTCATCATAGGTTTTCGAGGGAAGATGATCTTATTATAGTTTGCAGTGGGATTTTCTCTGGAATCCGTATGAAGGCGCATTGGCTCCGGGATAACAGTAGGACCCACAGTCGGTACAGAGTACGAGCTCCACATCGATAACATGGCTTCTGACCTCGTGTCCTTCAACACCACATTTCCAGAGGACTTAGATGACTTTCTCCTTTTCAGGTGTGTGATGCTGGAAGGCTTGCTCTGCCTGGATGTCCGTTGGCTTTCCTCAAGTGCTTGCTTGCATTCCAGGTCTCTAGCTTTGCTTTTCTCAATGAGTCTTTTCACCATTGGAGACATATAGGTGACATAGGCTGGCCAAGGGCTGTGTTTTTCAAGCATATTCAGGGGAAGCCCAATGTTTTCTGTGAGTTCTACCAGAAAATAGAAATATACATGATTTAGAGGCACTTGCATACAATCATTCAGTTCAAAGAACCACATTTTGAATTTTCCCCCTCTCGCATAATTGGCCTTATACCCCGTGTTTTCAGTGGGGGAAAAATTGAATCCAAAGATGGGAGACAGGGACACCTGGGTGACTCAGTGGTTGAGCATCTGCCTTTGGCTCAGGACATGATCCTGGAGTCCCAGGATCAAGTCCCACATCGGACTCCCTCTGCCTGTTTCTCTGCCTCTAAAACTGTGTGTTTTTCATGAATAAATAAGTAAAATCTTAAAAAAAATATGGAAGACAGAATGACATTTCACGGTATGCATCAATTAAAGAACAGCATGGCAGTAAAGGGTGGGGAACTTGGGAGTCCAGCAGGCTTGGCTTCAGATCTTTGTATAACATCAAATTATTTAGATTCTGAACTTCTATTTTTTTTTTCACCAACAAAATGGTTACCATGAGGCAATGGTAAGGATTAAATAAAGCTTGGAGCAGTTCAGCTTAGGGCCTGAAAGCTTGGGCTTTGCAATTAGACTGGTTGAGTCCAAATTCTTTCTATATTTGCATAATCACTGTGAATCTGGAGAAGCCCCTTAGCCTTTCTAAACCTTAGTCACCTTGTGTGTAAAATCATGGTGAGAATAAGATCAACTTCATAGAGCCTTTGTGGGTTAAAGGAAATAAGTTATGTGAAGCTGTTAGCACAGTACCTGGCATGTAATAGTCAGTAAATGGTAACTATGAACATTTTGGCCATGTCTCCTTGCCTGGATTGTTTCATTTAATCCCTGTTATACCTTTCAATGGGTGTTATCCTCCAGTTAGCTGAGGATGAGACAAAGGCTGACTAGCTTGCATAACTAGCAAACAGTGGATTTGAACTCAAATCTAACAGGCTCAGAAATCCTTAGCTTTTCACTATAGTGCTGGCCAGAAGTTTCTGGGTATTTGGGTTAAGGAGGCTTTACTAGAAAATTCTATTCATGAGTTTGCCAAGCAGCCTGTTCCTTTATAGATACCAAATCATGGGCAGGTCAGTCCCTCCCTCTTCCTTTTGCAACTTCACTCCATCAAGCAGAAATGCCTCGTGATGTCTCTCCCGCTGGTGCTACATTCCCTGTTTTCTCAAATGGTGCATACTTTGATCATTTCAATAGGGGGTTGAGAGACAAGAAAGTTAAAAGGTTGCTCTTGCCATCTCCAACCTAAATTCAGTGAAAAACACCATCACTTGGGATAATCAGAGAAAATGCAGATCATATAGTTATTCCCAGGCTGCCTCATGGACATCCAGGAGCTGAAACTCATCTAGGGACAGATCTGTCAGTAGAGAACGTGTTGTGAAGGGCTTCATCTCCCTGCAAGAGTTGTGTATCATTCTGCCTGAGGAAGGCAAGATGTGTGACATCACCTCTCCCTAAAAAAAAAATGCATTAAAGCTTCCAAGTGCAGACCCGATGGTTCATTTTTGTCTCCTCAAAGTAAATGCAAAATGCAAAGATCTGGGGGCACTGGGCTGGCTTGGTCAGTAGAGCACACAACTACTGGTCTCAGGGTTGTGAGTTCGAGCCCCACGTTCGGTATAGAGATTACTTAAAATTAAAGTCTTTTTTTAAAAAATGCAAAGATCTTGCAGGTTAAGGCATTTGCTTGTATGGGGTGAAACTATACTCAACTGGAGCAAAATAGAGGAGCAGCCCTCCTTCCTCTCCAGGGCATGCTACATACTCTACCTGTGTAACAAGAGTGGCCACCTCAAGCCCTACCTCTATGTCTTCCCACCCCAGATCTTTAGCTTTAGCTCTCAGCTAGCAGCAGGAGCTCCCACTGCTAAGGCCCCAAGCCCTATCTTTCTCTGTCTTCATCTTTCTTGCATCAATCACCTCCATCACTAAAGAGTTCTTCATACCAAAGGTCCAAAATACCTTGGGGAAAATACACTTGTTAGCCAGGGATACCACAGAGTGACCTGAGAGAAGAGGATGCACCATCCATGGAGCTGGGGAGATGCAATGTGGGCTCAGCACAAGAGGTCACAGTAAATGTCATCTACTCTGCCACGGTCCAACCATGGTCATGGACTGGGCCAAGTTTCTATATCCTGGCTACACTTCTCCACTGCCACTGGGGAGAGGAGGAGTGGCAGCGATGGGCAGCTGTCAAGAGTCAATGCACAGGCCCCAAGAACAGGATGAAATAGAAAACTCTCAGCGCTCTACATGGCCATGTGGGTAGACAGTTTGATGGGAACCGTGTTCCAATGGTTCTGAGACTGGCAGGTGCATCAGCCCAGAGGACTTGTTAAAACACAGAGTGCTGAGCCCTCCCTGCCTCTAGAGTTCCTGATTCAACAATCCATGTTCAAAATCAGAGGTGGGGAGGGAAATGCTGACGATGTGTAAGGTTTTATAATTAACTCCTACTGACAAGAAACAGGTCCTAGAGACCTCTGTAATTCCTTTCCAGTTCTAAGATTGGAAAATGCGTATATGAGAGTTTTTAGCCAAGAACTCATCATTTTGTGTGTTCGGAATGGGCTGTTTCTGTGGCCCTTGAACATTTGAAATGTCGTGGAGCATTTCTACCACCCCCTGCCAATGTCCAGTGAAAAAAGTCTCAGATGGTTTTTAACAAGTTCCCAGGTGATGCTGGGGCTGTGAGTCAGGAGACCACACCATGAGAACCACCAGTCGCAAGCAGGGCTTCTCAAACTTGAGTGAACACTACCATTGCCTGGGGAGCTTGTAAAAGCACAGACACTCGGTGACCCGCCCTCCTGTGATTCTGATTCAGTAGATCTGCTTTGGCGACCAAAGAATTTGCACTTTCAGGAAGCTCCCAGGAGAGGCTGCTGGTCTGGGGACCACACACTGAGAAGTGCTGGTTTAGACTGAATAATGACTCTACATGTTTCTTTCTGCTGCAACATCTGTAAGGGTTGACTTGTTCAGATGTGAAACACTCCTCTGAGATAAGCAAATTCCCAGGTTTTCCATCTCCTTTTTTGCCTCCTAACCCAGGAACCATTGTGGTATGCAAATATGTTACTGACAAGGTCAACCTTAAATCCTACTATGTTTCTAAAGTAAGTTATCACCAGTGTCAGCATTTTATTATAACACACCTAACAAAGGATAGCACCCTAGACATTTATTCATACTCTTTAAAAAAAAATTCTACTTTTTGTAAAGCCTATTTAGATCCAGGCCTTATGGAGTCCCTACTGTTCCATCTGAGAGGTAAGCTTTCACACAACACATTTTTAGGAGAATTCACAGTATCATTTTTTCTGAAGTTAGAGAAGAAATGATGTTCACATAGACCTCTAACCTATAGCTTCAGGTAATAATAAACAGCTAAAAAAGAAAGTTCCTTTTCTCCTTCTGATACCCACCATAGATCTCAGAATTACAAGCCATCCATCCCAAGTCTCCAGTAATGTAGAAGATGTCATCCCATGCCTGTTCACCTCCAATGGAAGAGATTCTTGGCTTATCCCCCATATCTGTAGAACTGTTAAAAATGTGTTTGTACCTCTCTCCATATGTACAATAGGATTAATCCATCATGCTGGATGATGGGATAATGTTTTGAATTCATGATATTTGGGGAATTTCAGATAATGCCATTCATTCTTGCTTCTAAGTTTCTAGTTAATAAAGCTTGAAGCCTCAAAGAGGCTCAGGTCTTAGCAAATTATTTGTTTCAGTGCCAGCGTGCATTTGTGTAACCCAACATCTTCCTCAAAGCCTCTCACCATATCTCACTGGACCCCACAGCCTTCTATGGATGATCAACAATTCCATGGAATGGTAAGTTTTTGCCATACCTGCTGATCAGGAACCAGGGAACTACAAACCCAAGGCAGGGAATGTTTGAGACCGCCTCAGAACTCATGGGGAGGACTTGTTTGTTTGAAAATAAAGGAGACAAATAGTTGACATTAAGTCTGAAGACAAGCTGTGGGCTTTTATAATTTCCTTCAACTCTGGCACAAAGGTTCCATTTTGTCTCCCTATAAATGAAATGCAGAGCAGCAGTCTACAGACAGAAACAGCATTGATGGGAGGGGCTGGAGGCATAAGATTGAAGTGGGTTTCTTGTTTCTCCTACAGGCACAAAGGCCTATGTTCAATACACTGGATTTTCAAGCCCAGCTCCTCCCACCAATCTCTTGTCCCACCATTTCCAGAATCTCATCTGATATGCTGGCCTTGGCCTAAATAAAATCAAAGGAATGACACGTACCTGGAATCTGACACAAATTTGTGACCTTGATCATGTTCCTTAACCTCTTAGGACCTCCATTATCTCACTTGGGAGATGAAGATGAATCTTTGCCCTGTTTCTCTCACAGAGGTATGGCCGTTAGAATAAACTGTCCAGAAATGAAAGTGCCTCTAAACTGGCAGTCCTCCAACTTCGCTGCACACTGGAATTACCAGGGATCTTTTAAAAATTCATATGCTGGCTCCACCTGCAGCACTGTGATTTACTTGGAATGGGATGGAATACAGCCATCAGAATCAAAAGGCTTGGTTCTAATGTGCAGCAAGTTTTGGGAACCACTGTTCTAGGAACCCAATCAAAAATCACGGAAGATTTACAGAGTGTTCACTACTTAGAAATAAGAAATAGGTTCGGGGGATCATTCAGGCCTTCTGCAGTTTCAAGCCGTACTTTCATTGGAGGATTCTTGAATAGATATGTATAAATATATTCATAGTACTGAATGCCAGTGGCCTTTAAACATTTAAAAGGACTATAGTACATTTCCACTACCACCTGCCAAAATCAGAATTTACTTAGATCAAAGGACAGCCAGTGCCTTTAAACACTGAGCTGAGAAAACTGGCTCTGGATGGTGTTCTCATGCAAAGCTAATCTCACCCTCTGTGGCCACAAGCTGCATCCTTATCTCAGGAAACCATCTTGCAAAGGGATTTTGTGGATTCCAGGCAAAACTGATGGATGAGTGCATTGACACAAGTCAACCCCACTCAGACTTTTTAGCCCACTAACACTGTGGAAGTAATGTCATTTGCACACTCATGATGGGCAAAACATTATCTTAATCCAGTGTTTCCTAAACCGTGTCCCAGAGAATACAAGAACCTCTCAAGATGTTAATTGGTATTACTTAAAGGGAGAAGGGGATTGTCCATGTCGAGGGTCACCCCGTAAGGTTTAAGAATCACCCTTACACCCTATAAGGCCACATAGATTGTTTAATCCAGGGGGGCACCATTCACATAATCCATGTTGTTGAGCAATATAAATACAGCAGGCCTGCCCTTAGTCAGAGAAGTTTGAGAAATAGTCTGTTAAACAAATTCCTTTAGTGCAGCACTTCTCAGAGACTCTAATATGTTACCTTGCTTTGTAACCCTCCAAAGGGAGATTGCTATTCAGTATCCCCTCATCTCACTTGACCAGGGCATCATCCCTATGTCCATCCACTCATTCATTGGGTAGAGCAAGTCATGGACCCAGTAACCAGGAAAACATTTGTGTGGATTCTAAAGCAATGTCCTTCTGCAGCCTTGTTTTGGAACTCTGAGCATCAGAGACAGTGATGACATAAGACGATGGAAGGATGAACTTGCTCAAGGTATAGCCGGATCTTCGATGACTCACTTCCTCTGAAATCAGCGTCAGAGGCTTGGTCCCAAGAAAGTGCCCATACCAAAAAGAATAAGTCAACATAAGGGCCTTGTGCTCCACTTGGAAACTAGACCCATTTTCCTCTCTTCAGCCTCTTTCCTCTCTCCCCTGCTCCAATCTGCAGGCATCTTGTCTTGCTTGCATCTCATCTCCCACTCTTCTACTTGAGCCATACCTAGGAGTATTGGCTGGTCCCAGAAGGAGAACAATTTCCCAAACAGGAAACTGATGCTGAGTTTTGTTTCACTTCAGCGTGTTATCCTCCTCTTCCCCACAGGCTTCTTGCATATCCTCCCCTGCCCTCTGTTTCCTTTTCTGCCCTCTGGCTACTCTTCATTTATTTTGGCTGGAGAGGAAGCTGCTACTTAGGCTATTAGCATCTTGGAAGGTTTATCTCTAAAATCAGCAGAAATGTTCCTGGGCATAAATCAACTTGGTGCAGTGTGTGGTTGATGTGCTGACGTCCATCCCAAGTGCCCTGCCTGGGAGACACATAGAGCCTCCTCCCTTACAGGCCAAATGCATGCTCTGACCCCCAGCATTCTAGGGAAATACAGCGCACATCCAACAGGCTTCCCATTAGCCCTCTCTCTTCATGACTCTTTCCACCTCTCTACCTTGCCCATCCCGGGAACGCTATGGAAACTCTTATCATAGCCTCATCTCTACTTGTTGGGCTCTAGGGGGATACACACAAGATAATGGTTTGATGTGTCTCTAGAGACACTGATGCTGGGGAATGTGGGGAATCCTAGAACTGTTAAGACAGAGGAGAGTGAGTGGGGAGGAGCAAGTGATCTTCCTCTCTCCTTATGCAACAATGTGCTGGCCACCTTCCCAACCTCATCTCCCCAAACACATACACTCTACTCCAAGGAGAGGAGAAACAAGCCCATTATTGCTCTCTGTTAAGTTGCACACGATGGGCAGCATAGTTGGTCATTGTCAGCATGTTCTAATACAGACAATCCCTCTCTCTAAGGGAAGCAACTATCTCTAACTTCATCTGGGGTGGGGAGGTGGGAGTCTAATCAGAATTGCCCATCTTTGGCTCAGTCAGTTAAGCGGTTGCCTTCAGCTCAGGTCACAATCTCAGGGTCCTGGGATCCTCCCTACTCAGTGGGAGCCTGCTTCTCCCTCTCCTCCTCATTCATGCTCTCTGTTGCCATCTCTGTCTTTCTATCAAATAAATAAATAAAATCTTAAGAAAAAAAAAAGAATTACCCATCTTCTAACACAGACCTGGCATTACTGATTCAGCATTTTTGGTGGTGGAAAGGGGATACATTGCTTCTTGAAAACGTTTCTATACTCTACATACATTCACCTTGTGAATGCTCCACATTCACCTCTTGCTTTGGAGTCTCTATCCTCCTCGATGTCAAAGGCTCACAGGGCAGATTTGTTTTCTGTGCCAATAACAAATCAAAAAGAATAATCCATGTTATCTTCATTGTCAAGAGAAAAAAAGCAGAGAAGTCCCTGTGCATAGGCCAAAGCAAGTCCCAGCAGCCATCCTGCAGATGGTTACTGAGCATCTTCAAGTACCAGGTATTGCAGTGGGTACTAAAGACACAAAGCAGAATGAGGCACAGCCTTGGTTCAAGGAACTCACAGCACCTTGAAGAAGACAGACCACAAGATTCCTAGCTCAGCCTGGGTGGCAAGGGGTGTCAAGAAACAGATTCAAGAAGAATTAGTGCTGAGTCTTGAAAGACAAGGGAAATGATGGGCAAGCATAGTTTCAATGCTAGCCTCAGTGTTGCAGGGCTAATGGGAGTGACATGCTCAAGGCCCACATTCTTCTTCCAGTATGCAGATCATAGAGGCTGTTTCCAAATGGGATCCTTTCTGCATCTGAACTATAGCACTGAGTCCACCAAATGAGCACTTTACAAATCCGCTATGGGAAGCAGCACTGGGCTTTGTATACCAATCAGCTAGAGCTACAGATCTGAATCTTATATTTACCCAAGGTCTATTCAGTCATAAATATTAAAATTTCCATTTTTAAGATGTAATATGAAGACCCATTAGACACAAAGCTCATACAGTCATATTATCTTTAGATCAAGTTCCAAATTTTAACATCAAATTTCTGGAACAAGCCAAACAGTCATAATCAAGAGGAGAGCTTTTCAACCAATGGACATTTTGGGGACACTTGTACATGGATAGGCTAGACAGGTAGGAAAGATGTGGAAAAAACAAGCAGCAAGAAATAGTATTATAATTTCAGATTCAGGAAATCAAAACTGAAAGGCTTTCAGGAATTTGTTGCTCCAAGACCCTCTCTGCCTGACAGCTGGCTCATGAGCAATGGGACTATGAAAATGTGTGGCCCCACAGTGTTTAATCAATCAGAAAAAGGAAGTCCTGCTTCACTGGAACAATGGGACATTGTAAACCTAGAGAACACATGGGGGAAACAGGCCGGCATTTCCCAGGACTGGCCTCAATCAATGGGCCAGACCACCCCTTTTGAAATGTTCAGAGCACTATGAATCCAGGCCAGTATTTGTTTTGAAGAAGGGGATTTGCATTTGCAACTTGGCCTAGAAGCAAAGCACCAAAGTAAATCTATAGGATTCAATTATTCCATCAGTCCCATTGACAGCAAGTCCTCAGTATCACACAGTTACCCCAGCCTATGCCAGAATGTGAGAAAATCCACACATCACATGGTGCATCCAACTCTTGGGACCCAGAAAACTCCCAATTATGATTAAATCACAACTCTCAAATGTCTGGGATGAGTTTGTCCCCACCTGAACCTCAATCCAAACAAAACATCCTCCTGAAAACTAAGAGTTTGACAATACTTTGTCCTGGATCTCCTCGTTCATACTCAGCAACAACTTTAGTCCTACCTAAGACAACTTACAAAATGGAAATGAACAAAATAGAAGAAGTGACATCTGGGAAGGAGGAGAGGAAGGAAAGCTTTGAAGATGGATACTCAGCACTATTACAAATGGAAGGTGAGGTGAAGGAGCCTAATTTCAATTCTGTGCCAAGACAGCCCTATGTCATTAGCATAGTCCCATACTCCTTCCTGCATGTGGCCAGTCCCCTCATGCACTAGCATACAGGGAGGAATCAGAACAAATCATCACCTTTCCTAGAAAAGCAATTCAAGGCATGTATCATGTCAATAATGGCCAGTTGCATTTTGCTGTATTCATTTGCATGTAGCCTCATAATAGAAATTCTACATCAGCATTATAGAAAGCTTGGAAAACATTGTTTTTTGATCTTAAAATCCCATAACCATCAAACAACATTTATTTGTATGCTCTTGTTCTTTGTTTACATGGTTATGGCCAAAAACTGTACACATCCTTCTGAATCCATCATTTTTGCCCTGACATTAGATTGTATTTTCTCGTGTTCTTAGAGATTCCTCATGGTTATTTTAGAGGCTGCTTAGTAATACATCAAGTGAATGAACTATTATGAATCATGCCTGCATTGGGGAATTTTAAAGTGTTCCAATTTTAGCCATCGTAAGTGATGGCAGTGTCTTTTAAAATGGAGAATGCATTGGTGCCCTTCTGTTGTTTATAAACCTGAATATAGCAAGGTGCTCAGGAAATGTCGGCTGCTGGTGTTTAGTCTCCCAAAGATCTCAGTACTGCCAAAGCCATTCCCCTCTCATCCCGGAGAGGTGATTAGTCTCCTCCCTGCTCCCCTGTTTTCATGGACAAAGTGCAACTAGGATATTTGTGGCCATGGTCTCTAGGGGTCCTACCAAGGTCTATCATTCATTGGAGCACAACCCATAGTGATAAGGTTGGAAACTAATACAAAATCTGTGAGCGATGGCTCCCAGTGCCAACATGAGGCAAACTGCAGGCAGGAGAACTGTAGCTAAAACCTCTCCCATTGCCACCCCAGTCTGAAGGGTCATGAGAGAAGTTTTAAAAGTATCAGCTCTCTGAGGACAAGACCAGCTATGCACAGGGATATTGCCCCCCAAAAGCAGTCTGCTTGCTGCAATGCTTTAAGACTGTGTGTGTTAGTGAGGAGGCAACAATGAGATCAATGAAAGATACTCTAAATTTTCAAGATATGGTGCCTTGAGCTTAAGGCATGGGAGCCATGTGAAAGCCACTCAACAACTATCTCCAAACAAGGAGGTAAAAAGCATTCCAGCCAATTGTCAAAGCACTGAGTGACTGCTGAGGGAACCAAAAAAAAACCTCAAAAAGCAAACCAATTCCCCACAAAAATTCAATGAGCATGAGCCATTTAGTGAAGGAGCCATCAATTCCAATTCCCCACTCCACCCGCTAGCTGTAGTGAGACCACTCGAGCATTATTGCTCCCAAATGAAATCATATATGCTCTTGATAAGGTACCTGAGGCATCAAGAAATTGTCAAATTGTGCATCATCCTTTCTAGTGAGAAAGCAAGGAAGTATGAAAAAGATATTTCCAAAGTTTACAAGTTTCCTCTAGCAGTGCACCAAAGGAGGGTGCTGTGGACCTGGGAAGGCCCATATTTGTTCTCTGAGAAGTGACTGAATAGAAAAGGGGGGCCTCACTGGTTTTGGAGGTTGACAAAAGTGGTCCCTTTTGCTCTTGTTTACTCAGCAGTCTTCTGAAAATTGACATATCAAATTACTCAGGTATATGTCCCATTATAAGTTATTATATTGTCATCCTGAATTATTAATCATTTTCCACTGAATGTGGTCAAAATCACTTCCCCAAAACCATATCACTCTACCTCTTTGGTATCACTAGGACCTTGATAGTTAACCTAAACATGTTCCTGGGACCTACCTGTCTTCTGAGAATAGATTCTCATTTCCAGCAGCATTTTAAACAAATTTCTCTAAGTGTTTTGACTTTTTATCAAATTTAAATCTATTTGAAACCCAAGTCAGTGTCTTTTCCTGACCCATACTTCCACAAACATCTCCTCCAGCTCCATGCCCTGCTTCTGTCAATCACATCATCATCCTTCCTGACACTCAAAGTAGGAACTCAACTCCTCCTTCCCTCTCACGCCCTAAATTCAGGCTCTGTTCCTCAAATATGTCTTCCCACCTCTATTCTTTTTCCCTCTAGCTCATCCTCCATACGGTGGCCACAAGAATTATCATTTATAAATATATTTATTCATCCATTCAACAAATATTTACAGAATGCTCCTTCAAGCACCACACCAAGCCTGACATTCTCACCAGAGAAAAACAACTGAGAAGATTCGGATCATGTCATACCTCTGCTCAAAAATTATTTCCTACCAATTTCCAAAAATGAACCTTCCTTAAAATCTAGTCCCAGAAAAGCCTCCCAATCTGGGCTCCTACCAATATCACCTCCCAACCCCTGACACACACACACACACACACACACACACAAACACACACACACACACACACACACACACGTACACTCGATGCCCTTCTGTTCCCCACACTGGCCAAGCCCTGGGCATGTACCACATGCCTTTGTCCTGAGTCTTCTTCTCACTTCCCACTTTTAAGTGGCTGCATGTCCCCCAAAACCCAGAACATAACTTAACCATTGAGAGAAAGTTTTCCCAACCCTCCCAGGGTGAGAATCTGTCCTTCCCCTGTGCTCTTAGAGGAAGGCAAACATAACCCTATTATAAATAGCATTTACAACAATATGTGAAGAAAATTGTTAGGATCAAAAGGTGTGGGGTTTATTCAGAGCCTTGAGTAAACTGATAAAATTGTGCTCAAAATCTGAAAACCTGGCTCAGTCAGTTAGGTGACTGCCTTTGGCTCAGGTCATGATCCCAGGGTCCTGTGATTGAGCCCCGCGTCCGGCTCCCTGCTCAACAGGGTGCCTACTTCTCCATCTCCCTCTCCCTGCTACTCCTTGTGCGAGCTCTCTCTATCAAATAAATAAATAGCATCCTTTTTTAAAAAAATCTGAAAAGCTGAGGATAAGAAACTGAAATTTGGAGACACCCCTGCCCCTGGGACTTTCTGCCAAGAATGCTTTGTCAGATCATCACCAAAGGATGTACCCTCTCTCCTCTCGAGGGAGGGCTGTTTTTCCTCTCATGACCCAGAAATCCAGAAGTTTCTGGACCTAGAGGTGGGAATTCATCCCCCTTACTCCCCACTGCCATTCTCAAGCCAGTTTCTTCCCTTCTCCTTTGAAGCTCATGTTATCAGACTCTACCACCACTTCCCACCTGGTTGTTGCCAGCCTCTCTTCTCAGCCACTGACAACCTCAGTTTCTGGCACACCGGCTTCTGTTGTACCATCATAACCCCATCATCAATATTTGGTTTCCTCGTCATCTCACGAATGATGCATGTATGCTGCCTTCCCTCCCAATATGATGGATAAAGTGTCCATATTCTTGTCAAAAAACGCCCTTCCTCTGCACACCAGGCTTCTCCCCCTCTTATCTTCCAAAATGCAGTGGTCATGAGTAATAGTTGACCAGTTGACCACCATCATGTTCTTGAAACATCTTCCTACTTGGTTTCCACGATGCTACATGGACCCGTTTTCCTCCCATGTTATTTGTCAACCTCCTTTTCAGATTCCACTGATGGTTTCTGGGCTCCTTTCTCCATATGTCCCCGGGATGACATCAATGAGTTCTTTGGCCTCAAACTCATCTGTTTGCCAAATTTTAGCACTAACCTGACTCCTTCCCCAAAGACCAAACGCATATTATCCAACTGTTATCTCTGCATCATCATGTGTATGGCTACATCAAATTTTTCATGGCTCAAACAGAACTCTCCACTCTACTCCCTAAAATGCTCCTCTCCTGTCTTTTCCATCTCAGAGGCACCATTGTTCACCAAATCACCCAATTTTAAAATCTCAAGACTATCTTCGATTCCTCCTGCTTCTTTACTTAATACATCCAGTTCATTATCTTCTCCTCACCCCCCACGCTGCCATTATATAACTTCTCTTCATCTCCACCCTAGTCCAAGACATCAACATCGATTCACTGGACCCCTGGATACCTGCTCACTGGTCTCCCTGTCTCCACTCACATCCCTACTATTCCTTCTCCACAAAAGACTCAGAGTGGTCATTTTTAAATATAACTAAAATTAAATCATTCCACTTCCAGTACCCCCAATGCTCTGTGTTCCATTTGGGATGCAATGCAAATTCCTTACCTTGGCCTACAAAGCTCTCCTTGATCTAGTCCCTGCCTACCCTTTTGGTCTCAGCCAGTGTCACCCTGCCACCACTCACTGCAGAGCCTCTCTGGTCTTCCTCATCTTCTCAAGCCCAACAAGTTGTTCCCATGTTAGCATTCTATAGCCTCTCCCTCTGCCTGGGATGCACTTTTCCCTGATTTCCACTTGAGTTGTTCCTTCCTATGAATCAGGATCCATCCTAAATATGAATTCTTCAATGAGACCTTCTATGACAACCTAGAGTAGCCTCCAATCACTACCACATCTCCCATTTCAATTCTATGCATGGCACCATCCCTGACTGATATATCCCATGATTTATTCATCTGTTTATTTTCTCCTAACCAATGAGAAGGTAGGTTCCATAAAAGCAGGGATCTCATTCATCACATTCTCTGTCCCCAGGCACTGGGATCAAAATCATTAGATAAATGAATGCTCCTGCAATTGCCACAGCAATTTCCCCTGGAATTTCTAAGAATTCCTGGGGAATTCTAAATGCCTATCCAGGGGGGCAATCACTTCTCCCCTGTCTCTCTCTCTCTCTCTCTCTCTCTCTCTGACTTAAGTTTTCCCCATTTATAATGTGGGAATGATACACCTCCCTTGTAGGATGCAAGCACATGGAGCCATGACCATCCAGGATTCAGGCTTTATGAGGCAGCTAAGGTGAAACCTTATCTAATAGGAAAAGTCCACAGGGTCTAAACATACCAAATTCCAACTCAAGCCCTACTCTGCTTTCCCTCCTAACCTGCGTGTGCATCCCGATCTGGTCCAGCATGTGCCTGTCCCCTCCACTCCCACCAGACATGGCCAGGTCTCATCTGCACAGGATGCCACACCTGGGGTATCTTCCATCTGTAGATGCTGGATGAAATTGCCCTTTAACAGATACATTCTCTTCCCTCAGAATGATTATAAATTAGATCCATGCTCCCCACATCCCCAATCCCCCATCTCACTGGTCCCTTTATCTCTCTTTCCAGGGCCATTCCAATGATATTTCCCTCGGGAGGCAGGCCAGCCCCTGCAGGTGGGCTCACACGTGCACCCCCTTGTACCTCAAGGATCAGGGCCATTTATCCCACTGCATGTTACTTATCCGGTATACCTCTGTCTCCCTTCCTGCATTGTTTCTTAAAGGTCAGAAGTAAGATCTTTAATTTCCAGTCAACTCCCGGCCCACATGTTGCCTACTTTGAAGACTGACTACCATCAAGACCTAAGGCCAGACTTGCTTACCTTGTTCTGATCTCTTCCTGCCCTCCCTTCTCCCATCTGGAAGCTCTTGCAAGTCTCTGGTGCAGTTCATTTAACTAGGTTTCTGGGGAAAATAGAACGAGAAAGGTAAACTTGTAAAACATAATATATTGTAACTGATATCATTAGTTTTGGGGGAAGTGGACAGTTGAATAAATAGAAAACTGTTACCTATAGTTAAAAGAGAAGGTAGTAATTGCCAGTAATCCCCCAGAGGTCAAGGAGGGGCGGGTCTCTTGAAATTGGGGAGAAATACTTATTTACTAATTTCAAATGAATCTTTCTAGGCACAAATATACACAAATACTATACAATGAAACATCACTGCTATCCACATTGAAAATATGTGTGTGTAACATGCCAGGAAATTTTGAGGTTCTGACAAAAGGAGTTTTTGTTGAGTCAGAAACCCAATTAAAAAACGAGGGCTGTAATGTGTCTCCTTGGCATGGTGGGGGAATGCATCAAATGCTTTTAAGATCTGGGGAACAGGCCCCTTATGAGTGTGTTGTGTGGACATCTTCTGCCCAGAGAAGGTCTTGCCTTTGAGGTCCACCCTCATGCAGCACCACAGGAAAAACAGCTCTCCCCTTGCTGTTCTTGTTGTGTTTCTGTGATATCATTGTGTATTTCAACATTTCAAGAGGGCAACTGATAAGGGAATTAGCCGAAGTTCTTAAAAAGGCAAAGCTGCATTGCTAAACAATTGTTTGCAGCAAAGTATGGCATAGTACAAAGAGCATGAGCTCAGGACAGTCCAGTTACTTCTTAGCTATGTGACCAGAAATAAGATACTTCATCTTCCTAATCTCTGTGTTCTCATCTATAAAATAGGGGCAATAACAGGAACTATCCTTGGATGGCCATGAGGATTTTTGTCATGAGATAATTTATATAAGGCATTGGGCACAAGGCCTCAGCACATGGGAAGAGCGCACTGGTTGGATTGTGGTCATCATCATGAATGCAGAACTGTGATATCTTCCAAAATGCCAAAACAACATTATGTGGTCTAGTTGTCAGGCTGGAGAAATTAACCAAATGTGTTATCAAAAATGGACACTGAGTTGAAGATCAGGGAAGAGATTGGAGCAGTGAGAAGTCAGATGATGGGCTCAGGGAGTCTTCTAACACAAATGCTGCCATACTGTTGTCTCCACATCTCACCCATCCCACCCCACTTTTCAGGTCCCAACAGCCCTGCTTATACCACCTGCTCACCAAAATGACACCTTCTGGGGATCATCCCCGAGCCCAGGTAGGTCTGAGACATCTGTCTCCACCTGCAGACATGTGTGTGTTCGAATGCACATATACACACACAGCCCTGAGTAGAACACTGGTATAGTCCTTGGGATGAGAAAGTCTATGAACTACACACACGCATGCACCAACATGTGCATGCACACACGCACATGTACACACATGCATACACAAATACCATATAACTCTCTAAAGTCACCAGCCATGTCTACCCTGAAAATTTCAGCTATGATATGCCCTGTCCCCGCTGGGTTCTACTTCTCTTCTCAGGTCACTGTAGTCCTGGTCTAGAATGACTTAATGAGCAAACTTGGCCAAGAAGTCTTGCCAGATTCCCAGTAGAAATAATCTGGAGACTCAGGTATGCAAACAACTTTAAAAGGGACTCAGGGTGGAGCACAGAATTGGAGTCAGGAGAACTGATTTTAAAATCCAGCTTCATTTCTTTATGTCCAATCTTGAGCAATTTATTTAATCTCTCTGAACCTCCATTTTCTCACATCCTGTATGAGAAACATCCTGCCTCATGGAGGTTAGGAAGATCCAATTAATTCAGGCAAAAGTATTTCATGATCCAAAAAGATCTTTCTAACAGTCTGCTTTCGTTTTGAAGACAATGAACCCTGAACTAATAGTGTAAATTCCTTTCTCTGGTTTATGACCAGTGCTCATTTTGGGAACAAGAATACCAAGTAACATTGGCACCCAAATTGAGCATTAGATGAACTCTAGAGAAAGCAACTGTGTCCTAGAGCTTTATTCAGAAGTGACAAAGACCACAGAGACCTGTCTTGGGCTTGTCTGCTTTCCTTGGGGCGAAGGGGGGATGGGATGGGAGACTGGAGTTTAAGTTACCTAGCTTATTTGATTGATTGATTGATTGATTGATTGATTAGTTAATTGATGAGAGACAGAGAGAGAGGCAGAGACACAGGCAGAGGGAGAAGCAGGGTCCCTGCAGGGAGCCCGATGGAGGACTCAATCCCAAGACCTTGGGATCACCACCTAAGCCAAAGGCTAGGCTCTGTTCAACCACTGAGCAACCCAGGCATCCCAAGTGTACCTAGTTTAGAAGTTTAGAATCATTTGCACCTGAGGAGTCCTCAGAAGGCCATGCCTGTGAAGGTATCCGCCTTCCAGGAAGAGTAAGAGTGAACACAGAGCTGCTTCTCCTCTGCCTCTCATAGCCGCTCGCTCATCAGAAAGGCTAAAGTGGCAGATCCCATAGGCCAAACAGACTCAACAGTAACTGGGCCCAAAGGCCTATGGTAGGCAGCCTCCAAGATGGCCCCCAAAGATTCCCTCCTGGTATTCACATCCTCATGAAACACCCTCCCCTTGAGTATGAGCTGCATCTAGTGACTCACTTCCAACAAACAGAATATGGTAAAATGGTGGAATGTCACCTCGGAGATTGGTTTACAAAAACTGTGGTTTCCATCTTGAGTGTGCTCTCTTTCTCTCCCCTGTTCATTCTTTTTTTAAAAAAGATTTTACTTATTTATTCATGAGAAACACAGAGAGATAGAGGCAGAGACATAGGCAGAGGGAGGCAAGCTCCATGTAGGGAGCCCGATGTGGGACTCGATCCCGGAACTCTGGGA